TACTCTGTGGTGTATCTAGGGGGTGTTCATGCATCCTCTTCCTCCTCCATAAATTTATAACTATATTTTTGAATCTATAATGCATTTTCATGAATTTTATTGAGAAATCATGCTGACACACACTTCTGAAAATACCTGTTATGTCCATTTCTAGAAGGTGGGCAATTTCACAGTAAATGGACATTGCTGGTGTGAAAAACACTCAAAAATTTTAACTAGACTAAATTGTTAGGAAAATTTGAGAACTAGTAGCTGAGATATTCTTGTTTCCAGAAAAAATCGTGAGAATATAACTTTTATTCTGTGTAAATAGAAAAAGCATATACAGTGACTGGCAATGCACTTTTTAACGGTTGTAACATTGACATACATGAAATTAAAAAGATCACACAATGGACATTTTTCTCTGTCATATTTTGCCTGATTTATTTTACATTTGTACCCAAAGTGTTGTATACAAAATATCAATCTCGTATATTCACTCCACAGTTATTTTTTCAAAGTGATGTCTAACACTGGTTTTCATTCAATATTGATAATGATATTTTTTGTCAAGTAAATTAATTATATTTAACACCTTCTAACAGACTGGAAAGTATAATTCAGTCATAAAGTAATTCATATCTATTGTTTCCATCAACTTACAAACCAACCTCCATTGTTTTTAAACTTGCTGATGTAGCTCAGTTGTATAGAAAAATGTGTAATGGTCGAATTTTTGACATACTAAATAAACCAGACATCTTTAAAATCAGGAAATCTTAGCAAATTTTAACAACTTCTAAAACAACTCTGTTTAAATACTTCAGAACATTTTAACTAAGCAAATAAAATATAGATATAATCTCTATGGTAGTGTAAATTACTTGCATAGTCTTTTTTAGTATGAAATTCTTGTTTTGTAACGTTATACAACCATCTATTTAATTTCAAGCAACTACGATTTAAAAAAATAATTCTCATTCAGTAATAAAGTACTGTACACAATTTAACTAGACCTTTCAACTAGGTACTGTATGTGTGTGCTAGAATCACATTTTAATTATATAGCCAAGACAAAAGAATCTGATATGATATTGTAGGCTTTTGTAACGGTCAAACAGTTGACATACTAAATCAGTGGGACCATCTTTAGGTAGGCACTTTAGGCTATTATATTTGATGTGATATGGCTACATCTAAATATGTCTGGATGATGAAGCACTCTCTCAGAAACACAAAACCGTTTAAAAAACTTCAATCGCACTTTTCGTTCCAGAGATATCGCTGTTTTTCCATATCCAATTTGTACTAGTTAGGAGAACAAATGTCAAAGGTCAATCCTTTTATTTTCTTTGTTTTAGCGAAGGCACCAGAAAAATCACATGTTTCAACACATTTTAACTTCTAACTTCAAAAGTATTTATTGTACACTCTTCAAATTTTCAGGATATATCATGAACATAATCAGCTACCAATGTATATAAAAAATTTGCATATTGTATATTTTAACTACCTAATTTGCATATTAATTATAAGAAAAATGTTGAATATCGGCATTTTAAACGTTCTTTATGACATATTTGCAGCTATTGGACAAAATAACTTTGTATATACTTGAATGTTCAATTACACATAAACATTAATCTGAAAACAAATATTAATTAACATAATAATGATCAAATTTGCAATATTAGCAAAAATAAGAATCTTCCCCAAATCAAATTACTTGTCATGATAAACTTCAGACTAAAATAATTGCAAATACAATCATAAGTTTATAAAGACATTCATTGATATTTATACTGAATTTTTGCATACACCACTAATGTCCTAATTTAATTTTGAATATGAATTTGACTGAATGACCTTTTTGAATATTGAATTTGAATTGTTATAATATCTGATTGCAATGAAGAAATTTGAATTGAACTGTCATGATAAAATTCCAGAATACAAATAATTATACAATTGAAATTTATGAAAACATTGTCCTTTATAGTGAATGTGCATACATTACTAATGACCTAATTTGGATGTTACCAAAAATAGTATAGTACAAGATTTGTACTTTATATTTTATCTACAATTATCAAATCATTGTGTTTCAAGTCTATCAACAAAGAAAATACTTCTTCACTTGGCTCATTTTCCTCCAACTCGCTCTCTTCATATAAAATCCGAAACTTTGTTTTGGATATTTTTTGTGCATCGGTTGCATTGTCACTGTTGTATGGAGTTACTTCCAAAATACGTGCATTGTACCACTTAGGAACACCTGACTGGTCAACATATTTATGCTTTACATTTTTGTCCTTTAAAAGTTCTGGATTTCGGACAAGTTTGTCCAAATATAGTTTAGATTGCTTTACTGCCCTTTCCTTGTGTCCTTCCTCTATTCTACCTGCAAGCTGAACTTTGAGGTCGGCATAGCTCCCACTCTGAATTTCAGGATCAATGTACTTAACTGGTTCAGGAGGCTGCTCTTCAGCAATGTCCATTAATTCTTCTGGCTGTTTGTCAGCAACAGAACTTAAGTCATTGGCTGTGATGATTTCTACCAAATGAGTTTTCATTTCCTGTTTTGTATATTTCACAGGTTTTCCATTTACAGATCTTGAGAGCTGGAAGTATTCTTTCAGTGGTGCCTTTGCTTGCAGTATTTTCTGGTGGAAGTTTAGTTGGGCATATATCGCACGCATTGTTGTTTCTACACAGGCCTTCATAGTGATGCTCAATATCTTCTTCTGTGCATCAGATTCCACCCTGCGATGTTATATCATTTGTCAGCTTTACTCGGTCATGCACTTTCTTTTGTTCTTTTTCTATTTTTTTCTTTTGCTTTTCTTGCAGATTAATCCACCTCTGCTTTTTTATTTCCTGAATACGTTACTTGTATCTCTCTTGAATTTCAGGGGCATGCGCTCTTGCTTGCCGTAATTCTCATTAAAACAGCTCCAGACAAAAATTAAACTCTGATGACTTACAGTATAATTTTTTTTTTTTTAATGTTTATGTAAAGAGTAGCTAGTGCTCTTGATGTTAAAAAGAATTAAAAATAGCAATAACACAACAGAAAATATTGTTTTTGGTACACTATAATTTAATGAATCTGCTATTTACAATTAATTAATACAATATTGTACCACTAACTACAGACGAAAAATTATACTGCGAGAAATTAATTCTGGATGTAAAATAATGGTTCATAATGAGTGGCTACGCTACTCCAGATGTAGCTATGAATACTACTGTAATTCAAAATCTAAAGCATTTCTAAATCTGGAGACATGTTCTTGTACTGCATCTGCTTTTGATGGTCTACTTCGTCTGCTAATATTGCCTTTTGCTACGTTTAATTAGGTAATTAATTAATGAGACCTCATTAAACATCGAACACTGGTTGTAAAATTTTATATTACATATCTTCACAATATATAACTGTAAAATTCACGATTCTGGTCACCTTTAATTACTGTAGTGATAATGAAATTACATATATTGCTGTCTCTTATACACATCTAGATGTGTATAAGAGACAGATCTAATACTTGCCTTTAATTGAGTCTCACTCCCTTGGCAAGTATCTGCGCACCACCAAAAATGAGTGATGATGGACTTCACCCAAGGTTGAAAGTCGGCGCACTCTTTCCGCTTTGCTGCGGCTGATAGCTTTTTCGTTAGGCTCTTTCCAATGTGCCACACATCAAACTGATGGTTAATGTTGCCAAATTTTTCCCTTAGTGTTTTAGTTACTTGGGGATGCCTGTCTGTTGCTAGTGTAGTCACTTTCACACCTGCTCGCTGAAATGTAATTACTCTTCTAGTGGAGTATGCCAAAACTTTGAATATAACTTGTATTATTAATCACATTTAATCTGGGTGTTTATGAATTTGATCACATACCACAGTGACAAATTTTTCTGTTTTTGGAAAAAAAATAACCACCTCAGAGGCTGTTTTTTGACCCTTCTAAGGTAGCTATGTCTTTGATTACCCGACGGTTCAGAAATCTTTAGATTCACCCATGCACCTGTATGAAAATATACAACTAACTTCTCCAACCCTTTACTGATTTTATTCTAAGTATACTGAATTTTGTTTATTATTTTTTGTTGATTTTTATCAAATGTTTTAAATATTACAAAACGAACAAACCTCTAGCTGTTTTAAACTACGAATCATTCCCTCATTTTCCAAATGGTACAAATTTTTGACCTCTGTCACCTTAACAACATTAGTTGTAAGAATGATGTTTTTCTCACAATCCATAAGCGAATAAGTACCAAAAGTAGCAGAATGGCTAGGGCTGTCACATCGGGCATCTCCAGCGAGGGTCAGGTTAATCTTGGTGCTGTAATCTGAAAGCATACAAGATAGTGTTAATAATACAGTAATGGTTATTTTTTTCGTCTGCTTTAAAAGTGTTATGTCAAGTGCCATTAATTAATTAATTAATTAATTGGTGGTGGTATGTACTACTACAGTTAATGTACTGTAATCTGTATTTGTGGTTTGTGTTGCTTTGTGATACTCCCTTCCCAAGATATAGCTAATTTATCAGTGTTAGATCTATGATCTAATAAGAATCGTGGTTGTGAAGAACATTTCAGCCACAAAACACCACAAAAAATTAATACAATACCTTTAAGAATTTCTTGTTGATGAAATTCCCACATCTGATTAACGGAAGGCAGCAAAAATTTCCTTTGTATGAGATAAAAATCTCGTTCAGTCATGATAGTCAATTTCATATTTTCGCAGATCTCTTGCAAAGTGGTGAATGTATTGCCTGTGAACAAAACTGATGCTGCCAAAAGAAGATTCCCCACTGCCATATTTTTTAGCACTGGCTGGGACCTCTATGTGAAATCATGGTTATTCAGGCATGTCCCTTTAATTATTAGTAAGCTACCAATTGCCTGTTGTCTAATTTCAGCTACTGGGGCCGTACAGGTTGGATCCCCCTGACATGATTGAAATAATTCCAAAAGATTTTCATTAAAAACAATGTATTTCGAATCTGGGGAAAAGGTTATGCTGCTGCTGTCTGAATTGTCACTACTACTGCTACTACTTTCCTCACTTTCTGATGAGCTCGTTTTGTATGAATAATCATCTCGGTCTTCACCTGGTGAAATGCAATCAAAAGATGATTCTTCGCATTTCTCTGGAGTAACAGTTAGCCTCGGTTTGCAGCAGGGAGCAGAACATGTCGGTGCTACTGCCCCACCATGACAAAGGGAAGTAATGGACAATTTTTCAAAAAACAAGTTTTTTAGTCGCTATCAACGAACAAATAATTTGGAACATATTGATATATTTGAGTATGCTCAAATCCCACTAATTAACAAGTAATTAGCAGCACAAAAAGGAAGTAAGAGACTAAAAATCAACGGGACAAAATCAACATGCTCCATATTCCTTAATTACTCAAAGCAATGCAAACAACAGTTGCTTCCTTTTGTCATGGTGGGGCAGTATACCATTACAGCAGGGAGAAGGGCATGCAAAGGTGATGGGATCAGTTTGTGTTGATCTTGATGATGTGGTTTTTTCTTCTGTCTCCATTGCAGGCTGTTCATAGTTTTGCTGCTGCGCACGTTCTCTTTGCTCAGCAATAATTTCAGAATCTATGTCTTTATGAATCTAAACCTATTTATTGATTGTATACAGTATGTGCAATGAATGTGGGTACATCTAGAAAAAAAATCTATATATAAAAATTAAATAAATGCAAATTTAAAAAAAAAAAAAATAATAGTAAATTAACAAAATCCTGTGTTGCATGCTGATAGGACTTACCACAACGAAGATAATATTAATAATGATGATCATTTATAATACATTATTATAAAAATAACAGCAATAGTCGTAAATAAAATTCACAACACCATTTAGAATAGAAGAATGTTGAAAATGATAATATCCTAAGCAGGTCCTACATATGCAGCAATAATTAGAGGTCTATATTTATTTTATATTTCATTATTTATCAAGACTAATGCCTTCACAATAGTAACATAGTAATGGCTAAAACTGTACACAGCAATATAATAAACTTTCCTACAGACTAGGCCTAGGCTAATACTAGTGTAGTGGTAGTAAACACTCCACAAATGAGTGACACAGATTTTATTTACTTAGCCCAGCATCCCTCAGACATCGATATGTGTATAGGTATGTTTATACTATCATGATTTGGTCATTCGAAAAAAATAAAGAAAAAACAATCGATCCTAAAGATCGTACCTTCAGAGAGTGTTGTTCGTTTTTCCCTTGCTTCCAATCGAGATTTTCTACTTTGCACTGGCGCTCCAGTGAACATGGGCCTAGCCCTACTACTAGAAGTGGAAGGTTCGTTATCGCCATGATGATGCAGGCCTGCAGACGGAACGGCGTTTATCGTTGCTTTTTTGTAGCTTGAAAAATCAAACAACGTTGGAACGGCATCGTCCTTCAAGATGAATCATGCCTTTGATCCTAAAATACTGTAACAACAGCTTCAAGATTCGAAAAATAGTTTATTAAAAAACGAAAGTGAACATTTATTAGCAACTAGTATTCAACAATTATTAAATATATAGCTAATCCTATGCCTGTACTTTGCGAATCACCTTACGGACTTCACCCAAACCTAGGCCTGTCTCTTATAAACATCTAGATGTGTATAAGAGACAGGCCTAATACATGGTGATCGACCTACTTTATAAGCATTTAAGAAATATCCTCGAACATAGTCGGAATATTTGACGAAATTCTCGACTATTATCTAACCGAATTAACTGCACAAGCCTGTTGGTTTCAACTTCAAGAAGCCTGATTTTGTGCATGTTTTAAGCCAAGTGAAGCGCCGAAGCTGCGTCGTGTACCGTGCTCTGTTTTCACTGTTATACAGCATTATCAAATCCCACAACGAAATGGAATAGTCCAAGTAAATAATCCCGACGCGTGGCCAACTACCTATTTAACTAGCCTTTAATCTCGTCGCGTCGCCCACTCGTATACGCGTTGCTTTATTTTGCGATGCTCCCTAACATTGAAGAATATTCTGGCAAAATGGCAACACTCATCAGCATCACAGGGTTTTTTCCTGTTAACTTATGTTTACAAAAATCATTAAAAGAGTCCGCATCATTGATAACAGACTGCTCATTATGAACTGCTCTGAACTGAATTTTTTATTACTCCCCCTTCCCCATCACAGGGGCTTTTGCCATGGCGCGATCCAAAAAAATGCCTCTCCATAGTTGTATTTAGGTCTGGCATAGCCTGTGAAATGTCAAAGAATGGTGTTTTTGATTTGTATTGAGCAGAACAACCATCTGTGAACTGGATAATTCTGCAAATAGATAATCCTCATTCTTCTCTCAAGTGAGTGACAGCACGGGTAACAAATTCAGCAACAGCGTGGCAGTTATGAAATCCAAATACTCGTGTACTGGCACATTATGTTGTGGGCATAGATAGAAACAGACAATAGGATGAATCGTACATACATTTTTACCCCAATATGCCCCCTGGATTTCATTTTGATAGAAACATGTAAAATTTTTTAAGAAGTCCATAACCATAATAACCGTGGCTTCCGGAATATTTTCAGTAATTTTATTGTACTGATCATGTTGCCATTGGGCATGAAAACTATGTGCAGAAAATGTTTCAATTTCCTTCAGTAACTCCTTGTACATCTCTACTGTTGCTGTACGCTTTATAAGAACTTTCTTCTTTTTTTTTGTAAGAGCCGATTCTTGATATACCCAAACATTGTACCGTACTTTCTGGTGTTGGTAGTTTAAAAATGGTTGAAATTTGTCTTTCAATTTATTTACCCCACATTGACTACAATTTCTATAAATGCACTCTTTACGGGGATATTTGTAATCAGAATTGGAACACATGGTTTCCAGCGTAACATTATGTTTGTTCAGTCCACTAATTGAAACACCCTTTTTGGCACAGAATCATCGTATCGAATTTAGTTTGTAATCAACATTAATGCAGGCATTGTGTTAACCCCGAGCTCCCTGTAATATTACGTTGACTATGCTTCGCCGGATTTCATTGAATTTTGTTGCACCAATTATTAAGTTGGGCAGGTCAGCTTTTAATTTCTTGTACATCCCCATCTGGCTTGTTTGTGCAGACACACATAAAAAAAGTTGATGGGGACAAATTAAAACTCATAAATTATATAGCCTGAAGTTGAATTAAATATTTCTTCAACTACTTCTGGTTGTATTGCAGGTGGGCCATCTATCACACCTATGGCATTTGTGTCATCTGAAAATATTTATTTAACAAAATAGTAATTTTATCATGCATTTAAATTTAGTCAATAAAATATTTATTATAAACATTTTTATTGTTGAGTACTTGCTATTAATAAAAAAAATGGAAAGATATGTTTTGTATATTACAGAAAAAAGTTTCATAGGAAATGGGATGTGTTACACAGCAAACGAACGAAATTACATTAATTACTGTAGTGATAATGAAATTACATATATTGTTGCTAGCACTACAGGCTTTTAGTAAGTTTCTACCTTACCCAGATCAAGCAAGGATTCTTCCTCTGCAACCAGTGCCTCCGGTTCTATATAATTAGCTGTGGACATAAAAAGTTAAAATTAAAATGTGCATGATTGGCAATGACAATAAAGAAATTGAGGACAGATTTTTTTTCCAATGCTTTCTGAAAACAAGGGAACTAGTAGAAAATATTTTAAACAAGTTTGGCAGATGGGAAAAATATGCATACAAACAAGTTTAAACTCACTATCCTACCTAAACCAGACCTATTATAAATAGTAGGTTAGGCATATAACTACTAGTACTGTAACAACAGCTTCAAGATTCGAAAAATAATTTATTAAAAAACGAAAGTGAACATTTATTTGCAACTAGTATTCAACAATTATTAAATATATAGCTAATCCTATGCCTGTACTTTGCGAATCACCTTACGGACTTCACCCAAACCTAGGCCTTGAAATATGCGCGCAAGAAATAAAATGGGGAAAAAACTCGTGCAAACTTCGCATGGAATCCGCCACCCTGCAGACTGGTATACTGTAATTAATAACATAAATAACACCCTATTCCTGCCTAGTTAGGCCTAATAATATCATCTTAAGAAGCATACTGACTGGTACCTACCTTCGTCATCATCAGCTTGACATCCATCAGTGCCCTCTGCCGTGTTCACGCCATTTTGGAATACAATCTCAGGATTGTGGATGTCCCGGGTACCCAGTATTCTATCCAGCGTGTCATAAAATGGCGACGTTACCTTAGCCCTCCCAGATTTGTTTTTGTCCTTTGCTTTGGTATATTCTCGGCGAAGGTACTTTAGTTTGTTCGTTATCTGGGATACACTTATATCCATGCTGAATTCGACTGAAATCTTTTCAACTATTTCTTTATACACACAGTTGTTCCTGCGTGTGCCATCGAGCTGGCGTTGAATACGCTCTTCGCCACAAACAGATAGCAGGTAGGCGATTCTTCGTTCGGTCCACACAGACATCTTGCCACAAGCCTAATGTAAAGGGCAATGGCTTTTTGGCTTGACTTGACATCGGTTTGTTTACCACCGGTCAACATTGCCCAACCCTTGAATTTTCGTGCGCTGGACTGGACGAACCATTTGGCAAAGCAATTAAGGTTGATTTACTGTCGCCTCCGGCTCCATGGCCATCTCATACACGGTATTCTACCGAGCAATTTGGTGGTCAAAATTGGCACGGATAATCCAGATGGCAAGGTAATTATGCGCATGTCCAAGCGACTTTAGAAAGTAGGTTCCGGTGAATTAACTGGTAAATCGCACGGATATTTTTTCGCTCGAACTGGTCCTTAGGGTGTGTTTCTACTGATAAACACAAAATAATCAATTTTTTGAAACCGTTTTTTAATGAGTACCAACAGCCTGCTGGTGATGACGAGGAGTAAGATACAATGTGTGGCGAGAAGGCAAATGTTTTCGGCTTAACTATACTGATATGTACTTGGTCCGTAGATCATTGTAGTCATTGTGTGGGGGTATTGGCATCCGACGAAAACCAATATGACTAAATGTCTATGGGGGGGGGGGGATTCCAAGCCCAATATCAATTTCATTATTAACTACAATTTAATCATGTGTTCAAGGCAATGCGAAAAGAAATTGGCCACTGTATGTACCTTCCGTACAGTAGAGCATACTGACATTTGGAGTTGTTGGCATTCCTGGTGCTCCAGGAAGAAGATTTTACCAACATGACTGCATGCCTTATGTCAGTACCAGTAAATACAGGATTGTTAAACAATTGATTTAACAAACTAGTCTCGCATTCCCGAATTGAATAATGAAAAAATCCCAATTAATGAATGAATAATGAATTGAAAAATAACTGAAACAAAGTGAAAAACAAATAATAAATTTAAAAATCAAATTGAAATCGAAAATCAAACTTGCAAGTGCCAATATTTTTTCTTTAATAAGGAAAGAAAAATCTAATATACAAAGCCTAATAGCTATGTATATACTTTGTCATTGTCATATACTTAACGTTTACCTTTTCATTGTTATTTTTACATTGTATACTCTACAGTATTCCCTACAATCAGCGGCTGTTGCATGGCAATCGCGATGACAGAGTTTGCTACATCTTAGAAACAGGCAGTCCAACATTTTGGTTGGGAAGTGTCCTCCGCAGAGAGCACATGGCTCGTTTCCTTCACGTTCATGTTTTCCCCAAAAGTGTGTGCGTCTACATGTGTAGGCTTTAAAGTATTCATTGTAATGCGTGATGGAATAGCCATATGGTGAATTTTGGTTGACTCTGAGGCGTCGGTAAAGTTGTATAAATGGTATGCCAATGTTATCGTCTATTGTGGTGTAAAATCTGTAACACTGCAGTGCACGAATGTCTTTAGTAAGGGCTAGTAGGACAAGTAACATATGGTGATAATTATAACTATTTTGAGATACAATTGGCTATGCCATTTGTGTTAAGCGACAATTGTAAAAGTGGAGATTTGTGTAACGTTGTAATGTCTCTGTGGTTCCAAATATAGTCTATAATGGGGCTAGTATCATTGTTGAAACAGCATTAATGATTTCCTATATGTATGAGTGATATCAATTTAATTTTACGAAACGGTGGTATGTACTGTAGGTTTCCGAGATATACAAGAACGTTTTGAAGGTCCTCCCCGCAAAAATGGCATATCGTCTGTTATTATTAAGATGATATGTCCATTTACATATTTACGTGCAGTGTAAAGGAATGGGGAAACGTTAAATAAAGCCTGCAATGACAATCGCTCCTTTATACATAAATCTGTAACGTCTAGTCTTGCCATATCCAACATGTACGATCAAAACACAAAGTAAATAAAAGCAATATTCAAATGAATGAAACAAATGAAATTTTCTAATTGCTGCGCATCTATTAAACCTAGTGGTGTTATACAAGCATGTCCTGAATTATTTATCA